TCCAAAGAATTTCCATTCAATTTTAATCACTCCAACCTTCACACAACCTATCATATCATCATACCATCATGCCACAATTCATCAAACAAGTCTCAACACCAAAATTCACAAGTCCAAAATCATGATCATCAAATTTTTCTAAGTTAAATTCATCATCAATTTTCACCAATAAATTTCATCGCATTTCTAGCTTTAATACATCATTCTAACACATTATCATCTAATACACATTTTCAAATTGAGCTCTCTAACATCACTATTCATCATATCAAAGTTTAGGTTTTCAAAATCAAATCATCACCATCAACCATTTAAAATGCAAGAACACTCACCTAAATGGAAGGTACAAGGCTCCTCCTAACTATACTCCACCATTGGAGCACTTGGAAGCTCCAAGAACACAAAAATTCCTCCCAAAACCGTGACTGTAATTGGCCAAGATCTCCTCACACACGCGATTTCAAGGTTCAAGAGTGGTACCAATGTGTTTAGGAGGTGTTTTCCAACAAGTTTCAAGACAAAAATCGTTGGATTTGGTTGAGATTTGAGTGAGTTATGATCCAAAGAAAAATTTGCATAAAGAGGAAGGGGGAAGGGGCTGCTGTCGCAGGAAGAAGAGAGGGAGGAGAGAGAAAGTGTGAAAAAAAGGTGAGTTTGACTCACTTAAGTCACAAGCGGGTCCCACACGCGTTTTAACTTTAATCAATCACCTAATTTCAACCACAAATTCATGACCTACGTATTTTTCTTGTTCATGTCATATTTTTGTTTCCCAAAAATACTGATAAAATTTTCACGCTTATCGGTACAATTATACCGCAGTATTTTTACACCAGAAAATCACTATTCATCAATTTTTCCCAAAATGACTCAATTCCATCAAATTTCATCAAAATCATATTTCCTAACTCAAAAAACCATTTATAACTCATATTTGAAACCTAGAGCTCAAAACTCAATCGGCACATTTTACGGTGCAATCGTACCGCGGTATTTTTACCCTCGAAAAACATTATTCACTGATTTTTCTGAAACTTGCATGTCCACTCAATTTTTCGTTCTGAACCCATTTCCAGGGTTATTTTTACCATCTGAGACCTTCTACTCAATTTTTATCTTCCTAGGGTTGCGTGTTGGCTAATTACCGTTTTGCCCTTTCTTTGTATTTTGGCCTAATCTTTAGGATTTTCACTAATCCATCACTTGATTGCTCACTTAATATTTTAATTACTTGATTTAAAATTGTGAGGTGTTATAAAGTCTTAGCCTTATTCATACCCCTTAATGCATTAGGTGACATATAAAACTTAATCAATTACCCATAAATAACAAGGCATGGCCGAAATATATAAGTCCTACTATTTAATTGCATAGTTCATAAAATATAAGGCCCTTTCAGTTCAAACACTCAAAGTATAATACCTTAACCGCAGGTTAAATGTCTAAAGTAGCATAAGTAAATAATCTATTACAGTCGTCCAATTATAAATAAAGTGCATCACTCAATCCATAGGGACTCAGTATAGTCATAGCCTCCAAATAATTCAAGCCATACAACATGCATAGCCTGCTTAATCTGTCCTTCATTACAAAGCTTAAAAATTTTATCCGAAAGTGACTGCGTAGCATCATCTTCAAGCCGTACCAATCTCTTGCATTTCCTTACCCACTTGGTCATTTTTACCTGAAAGGGGATCCCCAAAGAGGGGTGAGATTGGGGGTCTCAGTAAGGACTCACAGTTGGAGCAACCTCCAAACCATGATGCTTACTCCTGCAACTGTCATATAATAACATATACAATAATAGAATGGAAAAACATTTGAAACATAGTTTGGAAGATAATCATGCTTGCAAATCATCATACCAATCCTGCCATGGCAATTACTCTCCATGGTCTTACGGACGAATACCCAGGGTCCTCGTCAGGTTGCCTCTGTGGTATTAGTGCATAGGCCATCATAACAAATCTTGCATGAACAAAACATTAGTTCCAAACTGCCAAACATATCATTGTAATGCACCATACAACAGATTGCAGTCAAACCAACACTTTACATAAAGAGGGTGGCAACCATAGGGAAACTACTACAACAACCATAAATCACTTACCCAGTGGTCTTGTCTTTTTATTCTCCAAGAGTTCGAGTTTGAATCTAGTCTTCCCTTGCACCTTTGGTTCGGCCTAATAACATAATGAGACTTAAGAGAATATTCTAAAAACTCACTTGGTTTATAACTCACATATAGGTTCGGCCCCTTTAGGATGTAGGTCTTAGAAAATGATTCTAACAACATGGTTTATGCATAGCATTCTAACATTTCGGTAACATGTAAATCCCACAAGGTTTTCCTTTCTTTTAGACCTTAAGAATTGAATTAGGGAAGAAGGTTTGTATTCCTTTAGCCTTTATAAAACGATAATATTTAAGAGGGAGATCATAACTTAAACATGGAGTCTAAGGGACCTTACCTCAAGGATGATGTTTGATGGTGATTTTTCCACCGATATGTCACTCTTGCTTCTAAGTGTCACGAGTCCTTCTAAGTGTCCACCTCAACGAGTTAGACGATGAAGGAGGCTAGAAGCTATTTTTGATGTTCCCTTACCCTTAACATGTGAATGGCCGAAGCCTTAGATGGGAGGAAGAGATGTTGGTTTTTCTTATGGGTGCTTGTTCCTTGGGGAGAAGGCCGAAGCCTTTGAGAGGGAAAGAGAGAGTGTCTTTGTTTTCCTTTGGTTCCTTGCTAATCTTGAGAGTGTGAGGGAGTGTGTACGGTTTGCTTGGGTCTTCTATTTTATCTAAGTCCTCTAATCATCACACCTAGGAAGGGGAAGGGTTAGGTCTAGGTTGAGTGTGTGGGTTAGCAAATCTCCCACCTTGTTCAAGTGTCATACGCATGGGAGGGACTCTTGCATTTCTTACCTAGAAACCAACTCATCATTAATCACTTGGGAGTGATGCGTATAGGGAGGAGAGTTCTTGCATGTCATGCCTTGGTTAGGGAGATTCATCATTATTTGGGGAGTGAGGCGCATGGGGAAGGGAGTTCTTGCAGGTCATGCCTTGGTTAGGGAGATTCATCATTATTTGGGGAGTGAGGCGCATGGGGAAGGGAGTTCTTTGCATGTACCAAGGTTAAATGCTTTAATCATTACTTGAGAAAGGTTGGTTAGTGTGTAAGGCTTTTGCCTTTTAACTTTCCTTAATTGAAATCCTAGGAGAAAGTGTCATTGTGATTTCCCAATGCATGGGGTTGGGGGTCACTTTGAGTGTCCCATACTCAATTTAAAGTGTGTGGAGAAGCCTTCCCTTTTTCATGATAATTATTGCGCCTAGGGAAAAGGGGAAAGGTGGCTCCACCTTTTTAATCATAAATGGGGAAGGTTTAGGTTTATGAACCCTTTGGGGTGCGCCTAGGGTAAGGGAAAGTGAACCTACTTTTAATGAGGAAAACCTTGATTTATGATCCCTTAGTGTATCACCTAGGAAGAAGGAAAGACACTTGTCTTCTTGCTTCTACATGGTCGCAGCTTTACCTTGGGAATAGTCAAGTTCCATTCCATTCCTTTTTCTTTATTGGTTGCATGTAGTGGGATCCATTCATCATGTGCCACGTCACTCATCATAGGTCCATGGGCTTTGGACTTGTTGCCCACTAGGGGTCCACGGTTTTGGGTTCCTAATGGGGTGGGTTTGCTTTGCATTTGGGCCAAGGTCACACTAAGTATTGGGTTCGGCCCACTTGGTCTTTTGGTGTTGGATTTCCATTGAAATTAATAAATGGGCCAAGTCTTATTCCTTTACATATTGGGTTCGACCCAAGGAGTCTCTTTGGGTTGGGTTCACCCTAGGTTGGGCTACTTGGGTTTATGATTAGTGTGGGCTTAGTCTAAGATCATAAAATTTCAATAGTTTATGAGTTTGGGCCATTAAGGCCATTACTTGGTGTGGGTTTATCCCATTACGTTTGGGCTTTTAATTTATTTGACCATACTTAACTTTGGACAATCCACATATAGCTATCATTAATTAATTTGCCCACACAAGATTCATTAATAAATAAGGCTACATAATTTAGGGTTATTACAATCAGGGTTTGGGCTATAGAGATATAGGTGAACTTAGAAAGTTATTAAGCATTGTGGTTTAACTAATTTAATTAGTTAATTGTGGGTAGAGAGATCATTCACACCACAAAATCAAATGGAACTTGCACTTAATGATTCATAACTATGTTGGCCATAGAGATGTGGGACTTAGTATACATGTAGAGTTGGTGAGAGCCCTTGCATGCATTAGTGTTCTGGTTACTGAATGGATAATTGCTGTAGCATGGTTACTACATTCTGGTGAAGTTGCAATTATGGGGAAATTGATCCCAATCTATCTTTAATACTTGGGAAACCTATTTTATTACTGCATTCTTTTAGTTAATTATTAGTTTTATTATTTAATTAGTCATTAACCTCTTCCAAATTATCTTTGTTACCTTGATTGCTTCACATTGATCACAACTTTATAGTTTTCTTCGTGGGAACGATATATGGACTCACACATCCACTTTATTACTTGTTGACACGTTCACTTGTGTAATGTGTGATTGATAAAGGGGTACACAATTGCACAACAAGTTTTTTGCGCCGTTGCCGGGGAAAACTTATAAAGTTAGTTTCTTTGTGAAGTGATACTTGATCCTTTTTCTTTCTGTTTTCAGGTTTTGCAGGTAGTACATGAACAGTCTCCCTCTCTAAACAGAAGTATACTTTGATCCAACAATTAAAGGAACACTTCAAGTTAGGAAGAGGCAGCAGTGACAGAGAGTTGCTACAGCATTACCTGACATGTCAGAAAGAATAACAGGATTTGGTGTTGATGGACGAGGTCTAAACCAAGACAAAATCTCAATCAGAGCACATGGAATGTTATCACTTAACAATCTTCATTCTTCCATTGTGCAACCTGATGTTGCAGCAAACAATTTTTAGTTTAGACCAGTGATGTTTGACATGCTGCAAACTATTGGCAAGTTCAATGGGTTGTCAAGTGAAGACCCGCATCTACACTTGAAGAACTTCATGGACGTGGCAGACAACTTTAAGATGCAAGGAGTTACATCTGATGCACTAAGACTGAAGTTGTTTCCTTATTCTCTCTCCAATGGAGCTAAGATATGGCTTAACACTCTACCACCTAATTCAATCAGAAGATGGGAGGGCCTTGCTGAAAATTTTTTGATCAAATTCTTTCCTCCCACCAAGGCAGCTCAATTGAGGAATGATATATCAATGTTCCAGCAATTTGATGGAGAATCACTATATGAAAGCTGGGACAGATTCAAGGAATTGCTATGGAGATGCCCCAATCATGGCATACCTGAATGGATCCAGATGGAAACTTTCTACTATGGGTTGAATGGAAAAACTAAAGATATAGTAGATGCATCATCTGGAGGAGCTCTCTTGGACAAGACTTACACTGAAGCATATGAGATCCTAGAGAAGATGGCATACAACAATTACCAATGGTCAACAGAGAGGTCAATTGCACAGAATGAAGCTGTAGGATTGCTGGAGCTCGATGTTATATTTCATTAGCAGCACATATATCCTCTCTGAATAAGTCAATAGAGACTCTCAATCTTACTGCTGATGCTATAGCACAACAAGCACATTCAATTTATAATGCTGTAACATGTGTTTTCTGTAATGGCCCACATGTTTATGATGATTGTCCCCAAAACCCTCAATCTCTCTGTTTTGTAGGAAATTATAACATTAATAATCCATATTCAAACACCTACAACCCAGATTGGTGGAATCATCCAAATTGCTCCTATTTTGAAGGGCAACAGCAAGGGTCAGTGTATGCTACAGCACTGCAAGATCACAGACCACCATTCCAGCAGCAGCAACAGCAACAGCATTACCAACAGCCTGGACAGCAAGCTGACAACTCTGATGCGCTGGAGAGTATGCTGAAGGACTTTATGGCAAGAAGTGATGCTCTTATCCAAGATCAAACTGCATTAATCAAGAACTTGGAGACTCAAATGGGTCAGTTGGTGGAAGCTGTGAGAGATATATCTTATGAATCACTGCCCAACAACATTGAAGATCCAAGAAGCATTGGATATGAGCAAATCAAAACTGTAGCATTAAAGAATGAGAAGGCAGTAGATAGACCAGAGGCCATAGAGAACTACCACAATCTGAAGGAGGAAGCTGAAATTCAGAAGGAAGGAGGCAAGGTTGTTGTGGAAGATGAATTAAAAGAACAACATGTTGCACCTGAAGTTGCTATCACAGAACAGAATGCTACAGCAAAGCAACAGCACTGTCAGCAAGTCAACAGGACAAATAGACCACCATCTCCCTTCCCTCAAAGACTTCAGAAGCAACAAGATGATGTGCCATAGAATAGCACCTTATGTGATATTGAGGCTAATGCGAATTTGATGCCCATGAATCTACTATAAAAGATGGGAATAAATAGCATAAGGTCTACAAAGATGACTTTGCAAGTGCCTAGTCAAGTCATGAAAATATCAGTTGATGTTGTTGAAAATGTGATGATAGGCAACTCTGCACCCCAATAGATTTTGCGGTCCTTGACATGAAGAAGGACCCAATTATTTCTCAATATCTTGAAGAGTCATGCCTTGATACCCCAAAGGTTGTGGAAGATATGTGGAAGAATGAGATGATTCTTGAAATAGATGGAGACCAAGATAAGGACAATCCCAAGGTCAAGATGAAGGAGGAGGCTACATGCGAGAAAATTTTGACCAAGGATTCAAAGTTGTTCTTCTTCCTTTGTTTCAAGCCACCTTGATTATCAATCAAAGTCAGGCTGAAGACTATAAAACAAGCGCTTTTGGGAGGCAGCCCAAATCAATTAGGAAGTTTCTATACTTTTCTTTAGTTTTATTGCATTTAAATTTCTGAATTTCAATTTTTAGATTAGGATAAATGAGCAAACAGATTCTACACTCATTATTTTTGTTGATGTAGCTGCAATTTATGGGCAATTAAGGTTCCACTGCTGCAGCATTGCTACAACACTGCTACGTCATCGCCGCGGCAGACGGAATAAGGTGCTGAGGGGAAGAAAGTCAAGTTTAATTCCTGAATGAAATACTGAAAGCACTCAACAAAAAGCTGAGTTTGGAGTCCCCCAAAGCATTTTTGCAAGAACCCTGTTCAAGAAATTGAGTTTGGAGTCCCAACAACAAAAGGACTCACCATTCTAAAAATTCAATGATAAACCAAGTTGTCTTGTTCCTTTCTTGTCTATATCTTTTTGTACCTACTGGAGAATGTTAGTAAGGAATCTGTATGCTACGTAGGTTTAAATTTTTGTTTTATTTTAGTTTGTTTCTATTTCAAATAAAAGTAGTTAGGCAAAACATAAAAGGAAAATAAGGGACTTAAGAAGCAAACTCAATACTGATGCTGAGTGAAGAATGCTAAAGGACTTAGCATAGCATTGATGAAGTATTGTTGTATCACTGTCTATTATGTTATGATATGTATTGTTACAGGATTACTACAGCACTGGGTAAGCATGAAAGTCAGTGGTTTAAAGCCAAAGTCTAAATGGAAACCCAAGTCAGACTTGAAAAGCAGAACCAACTCAGGGTGAAAGGCCAATGGATGAACCATTCAAGCACAAGGATCAATTCAAGGGAAGAGAAATTAAGGAATGAATAGCGGAAGAGGGTTTAGGGTTCAACAATTTGTTAAGTTTGAATCCCATCACATGAAACAGATTTGAGGGCTATAAGGGTGAAAGAAGCCAAGTTACAAAGTGTCAATGCACAAAGAATTCTTCCACAAGAAAATAGAGTCAAACAAAAAAGAAAAGAGGGGAAAACCTAAAAAATAGACTAAGTGCAAAAGCACTAGAAAAAAAAGGAAGGCAAAGCTAAAAATGCAAGGTGGACACTCGTTCCTTCAAATCTTGTGCACACGGATGTGGATTCAATCCTGACAGAGCATGAATCAAGCAACTAGACCTGATGATTTTTAGTTTAAAGTTCCAAGATGGATCAACCTGAGAAGCAAGCTCCTAACACACACACACACACACTGAATCATCCAAAAGCTATGAATCCCTGGGAAGATGAAGCCAACAAGGAATACTGAAGTTGAAGTAAGGATGATGGCTGAAGATCAACAATCAACTGCACAATGTTATAGCAATGCTGCTGTAATATGGAAAATCTCAACAAAAGTCTTTGATACAGGAGTTACTGAGTTAATGAATGTTAAGCCTGAGGAGTGTTTTGTTGCTCGAGGACGAGCAACGTTTTGAGTTTGGAGTGTGATAACTCTCCAAAAGAGAGTTATATTTTGGCTTAATTGTGATGTTTTGGTGCTATGATTACATATAATTCTCTTGATTTTATATGATTAATGCATGAATTCTATGATTTCATGATTTAATTGAGAATTATGTTAATTATGTGTATTTGGATATAAATTGACGTATTGGAAACATTTAAATGCATTTGTTATTTTACTGCAGGTCAATGTTGTAGCATTGGAAAGCAGTGCAGATGAGGTCAGCAATGCATCATCACCAGCAAGCTATGGATCCAAGCCCAATTAGCTAGAAGAAGTTTATGAACGTATAATCAAAGTCCTGAGCTGGCTACGCGCTTTAAAACATTCAAAGGATCACCATTAAAGCTTAATTAAATCAGTGATTACATTTCCAAATTCAGACCTGAAACACGAAATGGAAAGAATCTGATGAGATATGCAGTAGCATTATGCGCTGTCCCTGATCAGCGCTGCAGCAAATAAGGAAAGAATCTCCAATCAGCGCTATAGCAAAACACAGTTATACCTTCAATCAGCGCTGCAGCAAATAAGGAAAGAATCTCCAATAAGCGCTGTAGCAAAACACAGTTGTATCTTCAATCAGCGCTGTAGCAAATAAGGAAAGAATCTTCAATCAAGCGCTGCAGCAATAAGGAAAGAATGCTCTGTCAGCATTACAGCAAAACAGAGTGTCATCCTTATCCACTCACACGACGGATTTGAATGAAGATTTACATGTACCTGAAGAGTTGTTGGAGGCCCAGAATATCAAGTATATAAAGGAACGAACCCTACACACAGAAAAGGAGGCTAGGAACGCTACACATGCTTTAGACATTCAATCAGATCCTAGAGAGAGAAAGTGGGGGAAACACTTAGAGAGAATTTGAGGGTTCGTTGAGAGAGATCCAAGGAATCAAAGGTTGAGGCTAGGGTTTGGTAAAGAGATCATCAAATCCGGTGGATCCCTGCACTATTCCGGCGGCTGAAGCAAGGTTGATGGTGGTGGAGCCTACGGTAGCTGCGGGAGCACTGCCACAGCAACGTCCCTGTTTTCTTTACTTTAGTTTAATGGAATCTTATTCTTTCTTTGTTGTTTCTTCCCACCCAAGTATGGGCTAAATTGTTATGATTGGGTGATAGAGTACCCTTATTGTGATGTAATCAGTTTGCCTAAACTTTGCTATATGATTGTCCTTTTAGTTGTTTAATAAAGTGTTTACTTTGTCTTTATTCTTGTTGACTTATCGAGAGAGAGCTGCAAGATAATTAGGGTTTGGGCTATAGAGATATAGGTGAACTCAGACAGTTATTAAGCATTATGGTTTAACTAATTTAATTAGTTAATTGTGGGTAGAGAGATCATTCACACCACAAAATCAAATGGAACTTGCACTTAATGATTCATAACTATGTTGGCCATAGAGATGTGGGACTTAGTATACATGTAGAGTTGGTGAGAGCCCTTGCATGCATTAGTGTTCTGGTTACTGAATGGATAATTGCTGTAGCATGGTTACTACATTCTGGTGAAGTTGCAATAATGGGGAAATTGATCCCAATCTATCTTTAATACTTGGGAAACCTATTTTATTACTGCATTCTTTTAGTTAATTATTAGTTTTATTATTTAATTAGTCATTAACCTCTTCCAAATTATCTTTGTTACCTTGATTGCTTCACATTGATCACAACTTTATAGTTTTCTTCGTGGGAACGATATATGGACTCACACATCCACTTTATTACTTGTTGACACGTTCACTTGTGTAATGTTTGATTGATAAAGGGGTACACAATTGCATAACAAGTTTTTGGCGCCGTTGCCGGGGAAAACTTATAAAGTTAGTTTCTTTGTGAAGTGATACTTGATCCTTTTTCTTTCTGTTTTCAGGTTTTGCAGGTAGTACATGAACAGTCTCCCTCTCTAAACAGAAGTATACTTTGATCCAACAATTAAAGGAACACTTCAAGTTAGGAAGAGGCAGCAGTGACAGAGAGTTGCTACAGCATTACCTGACATGTCAGAAAGAATAACAGGATTTGGTGTTGATGGACGAGGTCTAAACCAAGACGAAATCTCAATCAGGGCACATGGAATGTTATCACTTAACAATCTTCATTCTTCCATTGTGCAACCTGATGTTGCAGCAAACAATTTTTAGTTTAGACCAGTGATGTTTGACATGCTGCAAACTATTGGCAAGTTCAATGGGTTGTCAAGTGAAGACCCGCATCTACACTTGAAGAACTTCATGGACGTGGCAGACAACTTTAAGATGCAAGGAGTTACATCTGATGCACTAAGACTGAAGTTGTTTCCTTATTCTCTCTCCAATGGAGCTAAGATATGGCTTAACACTCTACCACCTAATTCAATCAGAAGATGGGAGGGCCTTGCTGAAAAAATTTTGATCAAATTCTTTCCTCCCACCAAGGCAGCTCAATTGAGGAATGATATATCAATGTTCCAGCAATTTGATGGAGAATCACTATATGAAAGCTGGGACAGATTCAAGGAATTGCTATGGAGATGCCCCAATCATGGCATACCTGAATGGATCCAGATGGAAACTTTCTACTATGGGTTGAATGGAAAAACTAAAGATATAGTAGATGCATCATCTGGAGGAGCTCTCTTGGACAAGACTTACACTGAAGCATATGAGATCCTAGAGAAGATGGCATACAACAATTACCAATGGCCAACAGAGAGGTCAATTGCACAGAATGAAGCTGTAGGATTGCTGGAGCTCGATGTTATATTTCATTAGCAGCACATATATCCTCTCTGAATAAGTCAATAGAGACTCTCAATCTTACTGCTGATGCTATAGCACAACAAGCACATTCAATTTATAATGCTGTAACATGTGTTTTCTGTAATGGCCCACATGTTTATGATGATTGTCCCCAAAACCCTCAATCTCTCTGTTTTGTAGGAAATTATAACATGAATAATCCATATTCAAACACCTACAACCCAGATTGGTGGAATCATCCAAATTGCTCCTATTTTGAAGGGCAACAGCAAGGGTCAGTGTATGCTACAGCACTGCAAGATCACAGACCACCATTCCAGCAGCAGCAA